GCAAGACTTCAAAGATTGAAGCATCTGGTTTATAGAAGAATTCTGCAAGGACTTTTGACTAAGCAAGTGTGAATTCTTGAGGTGGCCTTTGTACAGATAAACCTGAGAATGCAGTGGTTTTTTTTTTTTTTTTTAATTTTTATTTCATGCTGAAGTTTAGAATGAGTCAGAGGGCTGCATAAAATGACTAGGGATAAATTAAATAGTATTTGATAATCTCGAAAAGCTTTATGGAATTGTATTAAGGTGTGTGCTTCTTTTAAGAGCTTGCTCTGTTGCTAATAATCCCTGACCCATCATCTGTAAGGATGTTTTTTGAGTTGTTTTTCCAAACAGGATAGCATTTTGTTTAATAGTTTTGAGCCTTTCTGNGTATGTACTGGTCCAGAGACTTCAAGAACACATACTTGTTTGTGCTTATTGCATATATAATCAGCAATGTGTCAGGCACAGTTTTGAGTGTTTTACAAGTATGAATTCATTTACTCCTTATTTGACCTACCTCATAACAGCTATGTGAGGTAGATATTGTTGTTATCCCTATTTTATAGGTAGAAACTAGGGCACTGGATAAGTACAGCTAGGAAGGGGCAAAGTCGGCATCAGAACCTAATCAGTATGGTTCTAGAATTGGCTCTTGGTCTGTGTAGCCACATCCTAGCTCATGGGGATTTTATAATGTAAAACCCTGCAGTCAAGTGAATTTGGATATAATTCAGATTATATCCTTGAACCCGAGGCTGGAACTTGAGCTGCGCGGTCTTGCACCAGACATTTTATTAATCTTGCAGTGATGCAGGCTTTCATTTTACTCGTTTTATTTATTTTTATTTATTTTTTTGTACCACCAGGTATAGCATTGTGACTTTTTATAGTTAGGCACAGGATAATTATGATAGACCAGGAGAAGTTTCATTTGTTCCAAAGGTGGTTACTTACTCAACTGTAGTGGAAGTCAGAATTCATTATTTTTGTGGCATGTGGAAAGGCTTCAAGAAGAGTTGGACTGGTACCAGGTGGAGGAGCCTACTGTTTAGATAGAGGTTAGCTTGTGGGAAGGTAAAGCTGGAGAGGATGAATGGGGCCACATTTG